AAGAGATTATGTCAAAGCCAATCCAGCGTTTCAAAACATCCTAAAGGGCATTCTTTGGAATGAAAGCCAGCAAGAATAGACAACAACCAGAGATTGACAGACATGGCAACACCACCTGGAACTCAGTCAACAGATCGCAGAATACAGAACAGAACAAAATTACAGCAATGAATTCAGAGGACCTGTGAGGCCAACCAAAGATAAAAATATTAACAAGGTCAAAGAAGGGAAAAATATAGGAACAGAGATTCAGGTGGTCAGGAGGTTGAGTAGATTGCAGGATACAATAGACTGTCTTAAATGAAGGAAAAACTTAATAGACTATAAGGTAACTCCAAAGAAAATTAATACTTCACAACTTACCATGAAAATGGAAGATCCAAGCAGAACAAGGAAACATTAAAACTAAGAAGACACTGACAAGAAATAGCACAAAAAAACATGAACTCAGCACAAGAAGGCATACAGAACAAAGGAACAAACAGCACCACAAAAAATTAACTTAATGACAGCAGTTAATCCATACTTGTCAATAATTACACTGAATGTCAACGGATTAAATGCACCCATGAAGAGACAGAGAGTGGCTGAATGGATAAGAAAACAAGACCCTTCAATATGCTGCCTGCAAGAGACACAACTTACACACAAATACAAAAACAGACTAAAAGTTAAAGGATGGAAAAAAGTATACCAAGCTAACAGCAATAAAAAACAAGCAGGAGTGGCAATACTAATCTCTGATTTAAAAAAAAACAAAAAACAACTTTAAAGCAAAAACCAGCATAAGAGATAAAGAACACTTATCGCTTGATTAAAGGGTCAATTGAGCAAGATGAAATAAGCATAATTAACATCTACGCTCCAAATGAAAGAACACCAAGATATATAAAGTAAACCCTACTAGAATTTAAGAAAGAAATAGATAAATTTACAATTATAATGGGAGATTTTAATACTGCACTTTTCGAAAAGGGATAGAACAATCAGAAAGAAACTCGACAAAGATACAGAGGAACTAAACAGAACAATCAACCAATTTGACCTCATAGACATGTACAGAGCATTCAACCCAACAACAGCACAATACACATTCTTTTCCAGTGCACATGGAACATTCTCCACAATTGACCATGTGTTGGGTCACAAAGCAAGCCTCCATAAATTTACAAATATCAAAATACTACAAAGCATCTTTTCAGACCACAATGGCATAAAATTAGATAGCAACAATAAGATGACCAAGGAAATAAAGTTTGTATTAATACATGTATAAATAAAGTTTGCATTAATACATAATTAATAATTATATTATTTATTAATATATAATTAATAAATAAAGTTTGTATTAATGTATTATTCAATGGAAACTGAATAACACCCTGCAGAAGAGCGACTGCATAATAGAAGAAATTAAACGTGAATTAAGAAATTTCCTAGAAGCAAACAAGAACGAAAACACAACATACCAAAATCTTTGGGACATGATGAAAGCTGAGAGGACAACTTATTGTGATAAATGCGCACATCCAAAAAGAAGAAATAATCAAAATTAACACATTAACACAGCATCTCCAGCAACTAGAAACAGACCAGCAGAGGGAACCTACAGTCACCAACAGAAAAGAAATAATAAAGATCAGAGCAGAAATAAATGAAATAGAAAACAGAAAAACTATAGAAAGAATCAACAGGACAAGAAGCTGGTTCTTTGAAAGGATTAATAAAATTAACAAACCATTGG